TTGGTGAACAGGCATTGAGAGATACACATCTTTTAGGTTGAGTCACATAAACCAGTTACCTTCTTGCAGCAGGTCCATCAAAAGATGGATAACCTACATTTTGAAATTGTGGGAAACCACAAATGCGTTGAGATCCTATAAACTTTATTACTGGACGAAAATCCCCTGTTTTCTTCTTGAAGAGGTTGCTGAAAAATTCTCCATTGTTTGAAGCTGGTTGGATGCTCCCTTTAGGTGTAGTTCGAAGACCTCCACATCTTCCAGTCCGGCATTGTCCTTGGTGAAATAAATGGGACATGGTGGGTATCGCTTGTGGGGTTCCGAGGTGAACTCTATTACATACCTTTGCACCAGCTGCTGTATCCATTCATCTGCATAGAGAGGTCTACACAGTTCGGGAAAAAAGGGCAAGACGGGCAGCAGTTTTGTAATGGACTAGAGAAGGCAGTTCTTGTGACCTTACCTGTGGAGAAGCTTGCGTGTCCATGTCCTCTAGCTACATAACCTCTGTCTGGACCTCCCTGTAAATACATGCAAAGCAGCAGAGGTACACCAGGCAATACAATTTAAACAAGTGATGCAATACACAATAGATTACACCTAACTGGCATGCCCAGCATAAGATTCTAATGGGGCCCCAGACAATTATAAGGGGGAGCTCACAAAGTAACATGCAGGCAGTGTATATACAGTATCTTGCAAAAGTGAGTACACCCCTCACATTTTTGTAAATATTTTATTATATCTTTTCATGTGACAACACTGAAGAAATTACACTCTGCTACAATGTAAAGTAGTAAGTGCAAATTTGCTGTCCCCTCAAAATAACTCAACACACAACCAGGAAATGTCCAAATTGGGCCCAAATTGGGCCCAAAGTGTCAATATTTTGTGTGTCCACCCTTATTTTCCAGCACTGCCTTAACCCTCATGGGCATGAAGTTCACCAGAGCTTCACAGGTTGCCACTGGAGTCCTCTTCCACTCCTCCATGACGACCTCATGGAGCTGGTGGATGTTAGAGACCTTGCGCTCCCTTACCTTCTGTTTGAGGATACCTCACAGATGCTCATTAGGGTTTAGTTCTGGAGACATGCTTGGGCAGTCCATCACCTTTATTAGTTTCTTCAGGCAGTGGTCATCTTGGAGGTGTGTTTGGGGTTGTTTTCATGTTGGAATACTGCCCTGTGGGCCAGTCTCCAAAAGGAGGTGATCATGCTCTGCTTCAGTATGTCACAGTACATGTTGGCATTCATGATTCCCCCAATGAACTGTAGCTTCCGAGTGCCAGCAGCACTGATGCAGGCCTAGACCATGACACTCCCACCACCATGCTTGGCTGTAGGCAAGACACACTTGTATTTTTACTCCTCACCTGGTTGCCGCCACACACGCTTGACACCATCTGAACCAAATAAGTTTATCTTGGTCTCATCGGACCACAGGACATGGTTCCAATAATCCATGTCCTTAGTCTGCTTGTCTTCAGCAAACTGTTTGCAGGCTTTCTTGTGCATTATCTTTAGAAGAGGCTTCCTTCTGGGACAACAGCCATGCAGACCAATTTGGTGCAGTATGCGGAGTATGGTCTGAGCACTGACAGGATGACCCCCCACCCCTTCAACCTCTGCAGCAATGCTGGCAGCACTCATACGTCTATTTCCCAAAGACAACCTCTGGATATGACGCTGAGCACGTGCACTCAACTTCTTTGGTTGACCATGGCGAAGCCTGTTCTGAGTGAAACCTGTCATGTTAAACCGCTGTATGGCCTTGCCCACCGTGCTGCAGTTCAGTTTTAGGGTCTTGGCAATCTTTTTATAGCTTAGGCCATCTTTATGTAGAACAACAATTCTTTTTTTCAGATCCTCAAAGAGTTCTTTGCTATGAGGTGCCATGTTGAACTTCCAGTGACCAGTGAGAGAGTGTGAGAGTGATAACACCAAATTTAACACACCTGCTCCCCATTCACACCTGAGATCTTGTAACACTAACGAGTCACATGACACCGGGGAGGGAAAATGGCCAATTGGGCCCAATTTGGACATTTCCACTTAGGGGTGTACTCACTTTTGTTGCCCACGGTTTAGACATTAATGGCTGTGTGTTGAGTTATTTTGAGGGGACAGCACTGTTATACAGGCTGTACACTTACTAATTTACATTGTAGCAGAGTGTCATTTCTTCAGTGTTGTCACATGAAAAGATATAATAAAGTATTTACAAAAATGTGAGGGTTGTACTCACATTTGTTAGATACTGTAACTAAGGAGCTGTCACACAGCTCCCAGTGCACAATTATTAGTGTCAGACTTATCAGCAGAATTAAGAATTAATAAATTCAAACCTCAGATCAGAGAGACAATTGAGACGCTCTGAATCGCTGCTATGATGCACAGAGTGTGATGCAGACAAAATGACTGCAGTGAATCTTGAAAGACACGAGATCCAAGATAGCCACTGCAGCAAGACATTGGTGCTGGGAGAGCAGAGCTCGAATACACTTGATGTTGGGATAGCGATTATACCAGTCTGATTGCACGAAGCCTCCTTTTACAGTACATGGAGGAAAGGGGCAAAACAAAATGTGACACATAGTGGCAATGAACGGCTGCGCTTAGGGAAGGGGGGCAAAGGTTGAAAGGGGTAGTAAGCCCAACCCAGGGGAAAAGCAAGGAATGAGACCATGAAACCCCCCAGATATGATCTGTTCATGTGCAAAGCAGCAAAGAAAGAGGAGGTGCATAAGACTGTTTCACCTCAAATACCTTTTGTTTGTTTTTGAATGGTTCTTTGTTCTATAAGTTTTTCTTTGCTGATGTGGAGCTTAGTAAAGAAACATGTGAAAGATAAAAGTCGATTTGAGATAACATAGTCAAGGAATATCTTCTGGGTGCATCAGGCAAAACATCTGAACGATATTGCTCTTATTAATACAGATACTTTCAAATGCATGCCAAAGAAAGTTATTTCCTAAAATCTTTACAATGCACAAGATGTTTGACTGGTTCATGCCTACCGTAGGTGGCAACAGTGCAACTAGACCACAAGAGGGCAGTGCGTTAGGACAGGATGAACCATTCTGGCATTCATGTACAGGCAGAACATTTGTAAAACCAAGGCTAGCAATGGGGGGTCAGGCAGAACTCTTGAAAGAAGCCTGGACACAAGCCAGGGCCCACTTGGGGCTCTTAAATGCTAAGCAGTTACAGATATGGAAATATCTCCCCAAAACAGATGACATTTAGCATCTGTTTTGGAGTGTGCCCATTACTACACTGGAACAGCTTGATAGATCTCTCACTGGCAGCAGCGCTAAGAGCAGGGCCGGTGCAAGCATGTTTCCTCCCTAGGCAAAAAATATTTTGCCAACCCCACTCATATAGACTAACACATACGCTGACTCAAGTATAAACACACACTGATCCATGCAAACTATCGCACATGCACTGACTGAGTGTCTGACAGTGTGTATCTAAGAGTGAATTTGTGCATGTGTCTAAAACGTGAATGTGTGTATTTGAGTGATTTCACCCAGTGATTTCTGATGGCAGTCCTGTGCAGAGCACTCTGAAATTGCTCAAGTGAGAACACTCTCTTATAAGCGAGAAGAGCCTGGGACAGCATGCATTGCTTTTCAAATCAGATCTGCACAGATGCTATAAATGTTTTAGTTCACCTGCAATAATAAATATAATTTGCTTTGCTGCTGTGAGAAATATCTGGCCTATGACTCTCATACTTGAGTCCCCAAGCTGTTGCTGGTCAACATGAGATATTTCCAGGGAGGAATAGGTTGATGCTATTTTTATTATCAAGTTAGTTTCAAGGGACATTATACGCACCAGACCACTTCATCTCATTGAAGTGGTCTGGGTTCAGTGTCCCTGTTGCCTTAATCCTGCAATGTAAAACTGCAGTTTAAAAAAAAAACTGCATTGTTTACACTGCAGTATTTAGACTAGTATCTACCAGACAACCACTAGAGGCGCTTCCTGCAATCATGGCTGGATTTTCCAAAAATCCGCTGAGGTCATGGCCAAATCTGGATCAATAGGAGTGCTCGGGCAAGAAGGAGACTAGCTCTTTCCCCTTCTCGTTTGGAACCTGTGGTGGCGGTCCCTGCTTCCTGCTAGGTAGCCAAAAGAACTACAGGAGAGTGTGTGGAGATGACTTCAACGTCATAACCCTGTGGGACCTTTTATACCCCCGACTGCCTGTGAGATAGAAAAAAGGGGAACTTTTGTGTTAAGCAGGGGGACGAAGAGTGGAACAGATGATTAAAGGAGGAGACGAGAGAGGGACAAGTGAGTGATAACAAAGAAGGGTACAAATGAGGGATAGGAGGAAAGAAGAGTACAAGTGATGGGGATAAAAAAGAGGGATACAAGTAAGAAATGGGGGGATGAGAAGAGGGGAACAAGTGGAGAAAATGTGGGGTTATGGGGAAAAGGGCATAATTTGGGAAAGTGGAGAGGAATGCATGTTAGGGAGAGATAATTCAATATAGAATGATAGAGAGAGATAAGGAGTGGCAGATGGGAATTGAAAACACTGTGTACAAGCACACCTATTCATGCACACAAAATACCTGTACACGCACATTAAATCTTCACACAATTATGCTATTACATGCACACATTGGGACTTTATAAAAACACACCACTATATTCATGTACTAGCACTCAAAACAAATACACCAATTCATTCACATACATACACTAACACTCTACAAAACATATGCTACTATATACACATTGCTATTAAGCCATCTAACCATCGACAGATTTGGAACAGATCATATTCCACTATCCACCCAGTCAGATAGTCCCATCTTACCTCCAGTTCATACCCACTCACCCTGCCACATGTACACACTTGTATATTCCAAGTTGAGATAATGTTGCACATACCATTATCCAGGGTGCTTCAAACAAGGAGGACCAGGTTTGCAAGTAAAGACTTGACAAAGGCTCTGGAGAGATGAAATATTGTCTTTGGAGATGAATAGAAAGTCTACTTCCGGGTGTACAGAGGAAGATTGCTGCAAGAAAAGCACAGGCCATGCTGTGGGATCAGGATGCGTTATAATGAAAAGGAGCTGCTGTCCCTCTCGAGGCAGAGGGCAGAGAAAGCAGCTGAACTGAATATGAAAAACCCAAAGAAGGGAAGTGTTCTGAAGAAGCGCCTGGTAAAATTGGTTGTGAATTTTCTCTTTTATTTCTGGATAGATGAAGAAGAGCCCATTGGAGCACTCCTGCTTGAACACTGCAAAGTGGTTAAAGAAGAAGAGAAAGGATTCTATATATAATTTGTTGATGAACCTGAAAGGAAATACGCATTTGAGTGTACCTCCCGAGAACAATGCGATGAATGGGTAGAGGCGCTAACTAATGCAAGCTACGAATTCATGAGGAGAAGTCTTCTGTACTACCGAAACGAGATTCTCAGGATGACGGGGAAGGACCCATTGGAGCAGTACGGTATCTCAGAAGAGTCACGCTTCCAAATAGAGCCTGCAACTCTCTGAAGTTTCTCCATAACAGTCCATCTGCCTGGAGTAGTTCCTCTCTCAGGCACCCTCTTCTTGTCTTCAGGGGCTGAACATGCACATCCACATTTTCACGTCAAGCTTCTATGACCGTTTTCCTCCAACAGAAATAATTCTTTAATGATCAGCTGTTGACAGCGTGTAGTTTTGTCATATCAGCCGTATATTGTTAGCGCCATATGTAAGGCCTGTATAGTACTGTATGTAGTGTCAAACCAGTTCATGCCATTTGTATTTGCAAGATACGTAACTGCTCCACTAGTACACATGTATACCCCGTGGCTGCCATACTGTTCTTACTCTTCGTGACAAGTAGACCGGGAATACAGAGATTGCAGACACAATTGTCTTCCGCTGTTCTATAAATACCTCAGTGACAAAGAGTAAATGGACTAAACTGTGCCTTGACAATCGACTGATAAGTTAGACCAATAAGCAAAAGGTGGAGAAAAAAAAAATCTTCCACTCACCGGAGTCTGCTGATATTTCGTTGAAAACTTTTCTAAATTCCTCAGTTAATTTACAAAAGCTCATTGTATAAACTACTCGGTCACAGTAATTTCAACACACAAAGTAGGAAATGTTTTTTGATTTCTGCTATAAGTCTTAAAAGTAGTATTCTTGAAGAATATGATCCCAAACCCTTATTTATGTGCAAATATTTGAAAACACTACAAGCCGTTCACGTAAGTACATGCAACTCAAGGGAGATAACAGGACAGAGGTTACATTTCGTATTGACTAAAGTCAACTGCACCTCCTCTGACTGATGGACAACATGTATCACCTCCTTTTGATGTATAAACTCAACCAAATGCAAAGAGTTTTTTTTATACTAATAAAATATGTAAAATAAAAAATAAATAAAAAAGAAATATTGTCTTTGTTCTGTACTCAGACTTTCACATTATTTACATTCACACACTTTTCACATAATATGTCACCTACACCAACCCATCTTGCACAAATTGACAACCAACCACTTACCTACTAATTTTCACCATCCAATAATACTCCAAACTACTCACATTCATCCATCTAATCACATACACTAAGCTTCATGTATATGACACGCTGGGATAAATTGAAGAAACTGGCCTTCAGGCAGCATAGAATCAACAAAATGACGCTGGATGTCCTCACGCTTTGCATGAAATCCCATGGGAAAGCATCAGGCGACACCAATGCCATGAAGGGGTGTACACTTGCAAGAAAAAGTATGTGAACCCTTTGGAATGATATGGATTTCTGCACAAATTGGTCATAAAATGTGATCTGATCATCATCTAAGTCACAACAATATTATAGGGCAAGGCAGCTGTACCCTACACCTCCAATCTCATCTCATTGATTGGACTTCAGTTGGCTGACATCTCACTCCAATTAGCTCTTGGAGATGTCATTAGTCTAGTGGTTCACATACTTTTTCCACCTGCACTGTGAATGTTTACATGGTGTGTTCAATAAAAACATAGCAACATTTCATTCTTTGTGTGTTATTAGTTTAAGCAGACTGTGATTGTCTATTGTTGTGACTTAGATTATTCAAGAACTGACTGTTCACTTTCTGCCCAACATATCTCACCCCTTGACAAATGCCATTGTAATGATATAAACAATGTTATTCACTTCACTTGTCAGTGGTTTTAATGTTGTGGCTGATCAGTGTAGATCTCGCTTTCATATAGATTCCAGTTCTTTGATTTTTAGTGTGATACGTCTTTTTGATGATCCCCCTACTATACCCCTTTCTTCATCTTCATCTTCTTCTTACTCAAGCAACTACACAATTCTGTTTCTTCTCTGTTGTCTCTGTAACCTTTCTTTGTGGAATCATCAACATAATAGCTGGTTTAGAAGTTATATATTCATCTGAAATTGTCATGGTTATTACAGGGGATTTACTCTTGTATGTACAGCGGCGTACGTACCGCGGTCGCAGCTGCGACTGGGCCCGTCTCCTCCCAGCTATCAGGACCCATGCGGGAGGAAGGAGGAGGAGGGAGTCAGAGTGGGAACTCCCATCAGGCTGAGCCCCCAGGGAAAGTCACAAGGTAGGAAACATTTTGTATATGTATGTCTCTGTATGTGTCTGTGTCTCTCTGTATGTGTGTGTCTGTGTCTCTGTATGTATGTGTGTGTTTCTGTGTCTCTGTATGTGTCTGTGTCTCTGTATGTATGTATGTGACTCTGTATGGATGTATGTATGTATGTATGTGTGTGTGTGTCTCTCGATGTATGTGTGCATGTATCTCTCTGTGTATGTGTCTTTGTATGTGTGTGTGTCTGTGTCTCTGTATTTGTGTGTGTGTCTCAGTATGTTTCTGTGTCTCTGTATGTGTGTGTGTCTCTGTCTGTGTCTCTCTGTATGTGTGTGCCTGTGTCTCTGTATGTATGTGTGTGTGTGTGTGTCTGTGTCTCTCTGTATGTGTGTGTCTGTGTGTGTGTGTCTGTGTCTCTGTATGTATGTGTGTGTCTGTGTCTCTGTGTCTTTGTATATGTGTGAGTGTCTCTGTATGTGTGTGTATATGTGTTTGTCTGTGTCTCTGTATGTGTGTGTATGTATGTGTCTGTCTGTGTATATATGTGTGTGTCTGCATGTGTGTCTGTCGGGGGTTTATGTATGTGTGTGTGTGTGTGTGTCTGTCTGTGTGTATGTTTGTGTGTGTGTGTCTGTATGTATGTGTTGGAGGGTATGGGTGAGGGGGCACAGATCAGGGGAGAGAGGGGAGGTGGGGGGGCCCACGGATTGTGCGTACGCCACTGTGTATGTATCTGTGTTTTATTCATGGAAGATGTGAATCAAGATGAGAAAGGAATGCAAGATGGAGCTGCATTGTCAATAATGCAGTACTGGAGAAGAAAACATTTTGTGCGGTTTTCAAAATCGATTTTCTCTGCATGGAGTGTCTTGTATTTCTTGTAGTACTTCAATTTTTACACTCTTATACCAATTATAAACCACATCTTCATCATAGTCCTGCTTATCTCTGAGAAACATATTATTCTTTCATTTTGCAGCTGATTCTTCTAGAATATTGCATTTAGCTTTTAGGTTCTTATCTAATTCAAAATAAAGTGAGGTGCCCTTGAATCGCTCCATATTTGTTCTTAAGCTTTCTATCTCATGCTCATAGTCCTGAAATCTAGTATGATCATATTTCAACATTGTCTGTGTTAGATTAATTGCAAACCTCGTGGAATACTATAGCATTCAATGTATTACTGCTGGCTATGTACTTCCAACTACACTTTGATCTCTCTAAGTGTAATTTCTGTTAATATTACATATTGATTATTTGCTTGTAAATTCTATTAAGGGTTTTTATCCTTAGAATGTTATCCTTATAAGTTATCCTCTTCATTGTCCACAAACAAATTTTCAGCGTGCTGCTATGTGTTTTTTTGTTGTTTTTTTTTTACTATGCACCAACTGGGTCATTTGAGGTCCTCCTTTCCCCAATTCTAAAAGGTACCGTGTGTAGTTTTCATATGGGTCTTCAAACTCACTGCAAATGTTCCTCTATATATACAGCATATTTATATCCATTGCAAAGTAAAACAACACCTTATTTTTCTACATAATATATGACATGAATCCCTAATTAAGTGAAAGCCACTTATGTGTCCTGCATCCATTAGATCCTTAGGGATCTTTTTTTTTGGTAAGGCTGTTTGCTTGGAGTTCACCTTTGTGGGGTATGACAAGAGTTTTCTGCTGCTTCTTAAAGAGATACTGTAGGCACTAAAATAATTTAGCTTAAAGCAGTTAATGTGTATAGATCATGCCTTTGCAGTTTCACTACTCAATTATCTGTTGTTTATGAGCTAAATAACTATTGTTTATGTTTATGCAGCCCTAGTCACACCTCCCCTGTCTGTGACTCACACAGCCTCCATGAACATTATAGTTTCATTTTCATTCAGGTATTAACTTACTTTATAAGTTTTTACCTCCTGCTCTTTAAATTCAACATACAGGAGCTCCAGCAGGGTCTAGAAGGTGATTATCAGAGCAAGAGTTAAGAGATTCTTAGTTGAACAGAATGTGCAATAAAGTAAGTTGAAACATTAGATTTTGCTTTACAGGAAGTGCTCAGGAAGTCTGTGCAGGTTACATTCAGGGGGGTGTAACTAGAGCTGTATAAACAAAGTGATTTTACTCCAAAGTGGCAAAGAATTGAGCTGTAAGACTACAGAGGCATGATCTATACACCAAAACTGCTTCATTAAGCTTAAGTTGTTTTGATGCCTATCGTATCCCTTTCAGGTGGAATCTTATGCTTAGCCAGCCTGATCCACGCCATACAAGGTATGAACGCTCCATATATTGTGGCTTATGTTGAATTAGAGACTACCAGCCTTTTTTTTTTATTTATAGTCGAAAGGACACATCTACCTGACCTACCATAACCCTTGATAAACCTCTATAGATTTTTTATTCTCTATGGAAAGCAGAGCTTGTACTATATGCTGTATAATAAACAGAGCTGAAGTTGCTAACAGTAAACGTTACTGATAAACATTGATTGGAGCTGTGTGAGAGTGGGAGTAGATTATCTCAAATTGATATACCAGAAAAAAATTCTTCTGGGTGCATTTTGTGATGTCATCATATATAAAACAATTTTTTTTTTTTTTTACAAATGGGCAACTTGAAAATTATTTAAGTCACTTAACATTTATTAAAGAAAAGTCATCAGACTATATATATATATATATATTTAAATACCCTGATGGATATGGTAACTTCATGGTGCAGTGCCCTCCTAATCCCATGCACCTTGTTTTGCTGCAATTACTGATACTCTTTGTTCACCCATTGAACAATGCTAAATAATATGTAGGAGCTTTAAAAATAATACTAATTAAAGTGATATGACAAGCATCAGAACTAGTAAGGAATTATCTCACCAATGAATAATTTCCTTAACAGTTACACTTATGCAGGAGTATGAATTCTACTTTAAACATATCCGTGCAGACCAGAACCACAAGCACCCAACATTGCAAGGTAAGTATCAAATTCGTAAAGTTTTTAGAGGTACACACTAGTGATGTCCCGAACTGTTCGCCGAACGGTTATCCGCAGACGGCGAACATAAACATAAACTTTGACCCTGTACCTCACAGTCAGCAGACACATTCCAGCCAATCAGCAGCAGACCCTCCCACCTCCTGGACAGCATCCATTTTACATTCATTGTGAAGCTGCATTCTTAGTGAGCTGTCCAGGAGGTGGGAGGGTCTGGGAGGGAGGGTCTGCTGCTGATTGGCTGGAATGTGTCTGCTGACTGTGAGGTACAGGGTCAAAGTTTATGTTTATGTTCGCCGTCCGCGGCGAACCGTTCGGGACATCACTAGTACACACCACTGCCCAAATACAAAATAAATAAAAAGTGTCCCTTTAAATTATTTTAAACCTTACTCTGGAATGGCTTAGGGAACTCCTGTACAACTACTTTGCAAAGGCTAGTAAGGTGTTGTCATGTATACATAGGGGTATTGATTCACGTGAGCAAAATAAAATTTTGCCTCTTTATAAATCAATGGTAAGACCCCACCTTAAAAATTATAGCAGAACATTGCAGAACCACGAAATGTCCCTGTGCCTGCCCAAAAGGTGTGCACACAGGAACCTGTAACACTTTGATAAAGCTCTGTTAAGTAGCAAAATGTAATTGCTATACGATTACTTTTTGTTTTTTACTACTTTTATAAACCTTTCATTAAAATAAGTGAATTTTAATATCCCTGGACCATCCTGTTTTTCCTGACATTTGGACTTCAGATTCATTGGTTTGGAATG